TTGGAAAAAAAAAAAAAAAAAAAAAAAAAAAAAAACAGAAAAAAGGCTTCCATTAATTAAAAATTATGAAAATTTAGAGTTTTTTTTTTCTAAATAAGGAAAATAACAATTTAACTTACTAATTTCTAAATTTACTGCCTCCTTAATTATATGATATAAATTTAAAGATTTTTAATACCTAAATAACTATTCGAAAATAATAATATTTTTATAGTTTCTCTTTTCTATATCTCACATAGTTCCTCCCATTTCAATTTAATATATGGTTTGTGATAAATATTGGATAAGACACTAATTATCATTTAAAAGTCAGATAATTCGATCTTACCTTTTATAATTGTTGAATTGAAAAATAAAAATATTGCAATAGTCAATGACTTATTAAACCATTTTTTTTTATTTTGAGAGTTAAAATTGAATATTTAAAGTTTGAAACTTTCAAATACAAACAGAATTTTGTTTAATTTTAGATTTTTTTTAAGTACACAAAATTAAATAAAAATTTTTAAGAATTTGAGGCACAAACTTAAAAATTCATGAGCTAAACCCTAAATAGTTCGCTGTATATTAAAAATATATATTTAATCTTTGTCACCCAGAGTAAGATGGAACCAAAACAAAATATTCTTTAGAAGGGTGTAAAAATCTCTCCCTATCATAAACGTTATAAAACCTTAAGGGTTAGGGGAAGCCTGGAGAAAACTCAACCTGTAACAACATTCGAAAACCTTGACAGTCGTGGCCGAGCTGCAATCTCGAGTTATCTTGAACACGAATCCTTAAGGGTTAGGGGAAGCCTGGAGAAAACTCAACCTGTAACAACATTCGAAAACCTTGACAGTCGTGGCCGAGCTGCAATCTCGAGTTATCTTGAACACGAATCCTAAACATTTTCTATCAAGCCACAAGCTTGTAAGGGCAAAATAACATGAGATGATAGCTATTTATGAACTGTTGGAAACATTCACGACAAATTCTAAAAATTTCTTATCAACTCAACATCCAATTCATTGTTTTAGAAAGATACCATCCAAAGAGGTAATAAATTAGTACTATAAGAAACACTAGGATGTCAAAAATGATTACAACTGACCACAGAATCGAGAAGATTGAAAATTTGAAACAAAATTAAACGATAGCATTGGCTGCACTTGCAATCCTAGGCCATAGATCCGCACACTCCTTTCCAATAGGACCCGTAATTGCCGAACCTGTAATAGCAGCAGCAATAAACCAACATGAAAACCTGTAAAGGGTTAAAAACTAAAGGAAAAATGAAAATGTGCATCTCTTTTTCCTGATGAATGAACCATACCTTTCATTTCTCCTTTCGGGTTCACAATCACTCCAGCATTATCTGCAAAGAATATTATATTTGAAATCAGAAAATGGTACTTCAAGAAACACTTTAAACAAAATTTCTATACGGATGAATCAGCAGTTTAGGGAAGATGATCTTATACTAAATGCCAACGATGAGATCAAGGATGAAAGTATTATAAACTAAATCAGTGTACTGTCCACATGGAGCTGATATGAGTATGGGAGCTTCAACGTATCTGCAACGAAGGACACAGTCATTTTACCAGACTCGTAACTGTATCAACCATTACAATAAGGAGGATACCTGACTTATGCCTGGAAGCTAGATGGGACTAAATGGAGGACACCATTACGATAGGTTGCTTTCTGTTAGTTTCATATTAGGGACGCATTAATAGTGAGTCCATGAAGACACAACACGCACACACAGCCTATTTTACCAAATAGGTTTTATAGAGTTATTCAAAGTTATCTTTTAAATGACTCTATTTGGCTATTTGACCCCAGTAAAACGTACAACCTTAATGAAAACTAAATAAACATCTAAGAAACTCAAAACTAAATTCACTAACAGGGGCTGTATCTGGCTTCAGAAGAACTGTTAATCATGGAATTATCATGTTTGAACAATGCAAGCAACCCCACAACAGCAAGGATACCAGTTAATAACAAAGGCCCAAAGACATAAAATTCAATTAGACGCAATCATCCGGGAATGATCAAGTGGCAAACGTCAACCCTAAAAATATACATTGTTTCTCTCGTATGATAGATAGCAAACGTCAACAGGAAAACAAAATTCCAGATCAAAGTTCGTGTATAATATTGGTTTCCGAAACACAAAAAATTACAACCATATATACCTTCGAAGTACATGAAAACTCCATCCTTTCGCCTCCATGGCTTGCGCTGCCTAACAATGACAGCAGGAAGGACCTTCTTCCGGAGATCGGGCTTCCCCTTTTTGACAGTGGCCATAACCATGTCTCCAACACAAGCCGATGGCAACCTGTTCAAACGGCCCTTGATACCCTTCACTGAGATGATGTACAGGTTCTTAGCTCCAGTGTTGTCGGCACAGTTCACTGTCGCCGCTACCGGCAGACCCAGTGACATCCTAAACTTGTTACCTGCAGAACCTCCGCGCCCTGACCAACAATAAACACATCGATCATACACATTCCAGACCTCACACACATAAAATCGACATCCCTTCCACAAAGTTCAATAAATCTCCACTAACAAATTGCAGGTCGTATACAGATTCAATAAAAACCCGCAAAAACAGATATTCTCGATGCAAATGAAACGAGCATAATCTTCCGGTGAAAACATAGAACAGAAGAACAAAAAATAAAAAAACTAAAGCCTAGATAGCTAAGCTGCGAAGAACAAATAGAATGAGCACAAGAAATTGCTTACCTCGCTTCGACATTTTTGCCGGCTGAAACGAGAAACTGAGAGGAAATTAGGGTTATGCAGCAATTTATATAACGATGGGATCTAGGGTTTGTTTCTGTATCTCTTCCTTCCCAAGGGCCCAATTTGAATAAAATTATATAATTAATTATTTTTTAAGTCTTAAATTATTGGCTTAATGCAATGTAGATTTTTATTTTATGTATTATTTAATTTGAAATTTTAAAATTTAGAATTATTTAATTTTCATTAAGAATAAGTATGTATAATAAAATAAAATAAAAATTATAGGATTTTTTAAAAGCTACACGAACACATAAATTAAAATTAAAATAATTGAAATTAAGCTTAATATTAAAACCATAATGGGTATGTTTTTTAAGGTTACTTTACTCGAACCCAACTAACCCAAACCATAATGTTTTTGTTAAATTAGATTTTTTGTTCGGTCTAATTTGGGTTGAATCTTCTAAAAATAAAAAAATGAAGTCGATTTACGAGTCAAAATGTTTTTTTATAAGTCAACCTGACCAATTAACCAATTAAAAAAAATAGAGTTATATAGCTCAATTCAGAGTTACTTTTAAAATTATTATGAAAATTAAATATTAGGGACTCAGCGGTGTGCGAACTATTTGGCGAGCCCATACTCACACGTATGGGCTATGTGTAAAGTATATGGTACACATTTAAGCTGCCCATTAACATAGTGCCGTAGGAAAAAAAAAGACTGATATAATAGGTCTGATCATTGCATTCACATGTTCTTGCATTCAACCCCTAACAGTGGGGTCACTGAATAAGTATTTCTTAAAATACTCAAGCCACGTAGCTCAACTAAACGCTACTTTTAAAATTATTATGAAAATTAAGAATATTTAATATCTGTAACCGACATTAGTAATACAGTGTGATTTATATATGTCTTATATTCAAGTTTTATGAAATTTTAATTATTAATATAACATAGATAAGTATAGTTTTCTAAAACAACTAAAAAAAATAAGCTGACAACTCAATCCAACATAACCTAAAAATAAACAGACGGGTAAAGTTGGGTTGTGAACTCTATTCAGAGTGCTCGAGCTACCAACACAACCAACCCGAAAATCTCAAGTTAGTCAAAAATATTTCTTCTACCCAACCTACACACACCCTTAAAATATTTCTGAAAAGTTGAGCTGTGAACTCCATTCAAACTATTCGAGCTACCAATCCAACCAACCCGAAAATCTCAGGTTAGTCAAAAATATTTCTTGGACCCAACGTACGTACACCCTTAAAATATCTCGGAAGCAACTTTAAAATTAAATTTGAAAATGTATTATATTAATTATAAGGGCAAAAAACCCTAACATTTACAAATGAAGGATTTTGAAATTTGTTGATAAGATATCTACAAATTGATCAACAAAAGATCTCTAAGTTTGATTGCTAAGTGGGGCCTCACTCAAACTTATTTCTATTTATGGCCCTTCTTCACTATCTCTTTCTACTTCATACCACAAATATTTATTCATTTGGGTCCTGCAAAATTGTAGTTTTTTCCTCTTTTTTTTATATTTTTTTAAAATTTTTTAAATATTTTTTTTTAATGATTTTTAAAATTTTTTAATAATCAAATCCAAGACTGGATTGTATAGTTGCATTTGAAGGAGTTGACACCAGTGATATGAGCAAAGATAACAGAGGAATCAACCAAGCTATCTTCTTTCTTCACCACTACCTGCAAACACACACCACCCATTGATTCATATCAATTTAGTTCAATACAATTGGCTCATAGTTCAGGAGCTTTACTTCTTCTTCTCTTTCATGGTTGCTACCACCTGCCCTTTGAGTCTCTGCCAATTCGTCGTTCTTTGCGAACCGTCCCCGAACCCGTGGTCGGCTATCTGCTAGCGTTTTCCGACAGGCATACTGTCGATCATTTCGATTCTCGCCGTTAGCGACGTCTCGAGTTTGATCATAAACAGAAAGACATAAGAGAGAATGATTGAGATTGGACCTTTATTTTCTTGCTGAAGTTCCTCTCGTTCCTTTTCTTCATGTACCTATGAATCTTCTCCTTCCTCTCTTCCACTGACAGCTTTCCCACTTTGAAACTACTGTCCTTCAAGCTTGAGAGCTCTGATGCTATGCCTGTGCACTTCATTGCCCCACCTCCACCTCCCACTTGTATCTTCTCATTGTTTACCACCTTACATGCAACAAAATGTATTGGATTGTTTAGCTCATCGTCGTCGTAACGTTTGTTGAGGATTGTTGGGAGGAGTTGATTAATGTAAAGTATGAGGCCTTTTGGAGAAGCCCAGAGTAAAACCACGAGAGCTTATACTCAAAGTGGACAATGAGGGTCGTGACTCCTGACATGGTATTGAGCCATGCCTTTAACTTGACCATGTCAATAGAATCCTCAAATGTCGAACAAAGAAGTTGTGAGTCTCGAAGGTGTAGTCAAAAGTGACTCAAGTGTTGAACAAAGGGTGTAATTTGTTCGAGGACCCTAGAGAATGAGTCGAGCCTCGATTGAGGGGAGGCTGTTCGAGGGCTTCATAGGCCTTAGGGGAGGATTGTTGGGAGGGAGTCCCATGTTGGTTAATTTAAAGTATGAGACCTTTTGGGAAAGCCCAAAGCAAAGCTACGAGAGCTTATGCTCAAAGTGGACGATATCCTACTATTTGTGGAGATCCATGATTCCTGACATCGTATCGAGCCATGCCCTTAACTTAGCCATGTCAATAGAATTCTCAAATGTCGAACATATAAGTTGTGAGCCTCGAAAGTGTAGTCAAAAGTGACTCAGTGTTGAATAAAGGGTGTACTTTGTTCGAGGACTCCAGAGAAGGAGTCTAGTCTCGATTAAGGAGAGGTTATTCGATGGCTCCATAGGCCTTAGGGGAGACTCTACAGTGTACTTTGTTCGAGGGGAGGATTGTTGGGAGGGAGTCTCACATTGGCTAATTAAGGGAACGATCATGAGTTTACATCTCTATTGGTACGAGGCCTTTTGGGGAAATCAAAAGTCAAACGAGGAGAGCTTATGCTCAAAGTAGACAAAATCATACCATTGTGGAGATTCATGATTCGTAGGATTTAGTTAAGTACCTGAAGGTCGGGTGGATGGAAAGTCCCTTGCATATAGTCTTGGCTGTAGACTCCACAGTTGTCTCCCTGATAATCGAGGTCATGTGGTTGCAATTCCGTTCCGAGTAGAGAGAACATTCCACAGCTTTCGACCGACGATGCAGCGGGGTTCATCGATGCAGCAGGCAGGTAGTTTGTCATGGTTGCTCCGACAAACGAGCACGACGGGGAAGAAGGGTTCAGTGGCATGTAGGATGTCAAGGAAGACAAGCAATCGTCGACATAGATCGACGGTAGATCGTCGTCGAGGAGAGTTGCAACCGGAGGCATAGGACACTGCATAAGCCCCTCAGTCATGGGATCTACTAATGGTAGCTGGGACTGCACTTGAGGAACATCAAACTGGCCCGGATGGATGTTGCTGAGATATTGAGGGATTGAAAAGGAAGCTGATGGAGAGAAGTCTATGGAAGCAGAGATGTCATTGTCAAGTTCTTCTTGGGAATCAAAGATACCGTTGGCTGCTATGTTAGTTGTAGCGGCCGATGCGTCGTTAACAGGTATAAACGACGCAGCCGCCGCCGTTGTAACGGTATTGCCATTGCCATTGCCATTGTTATCTGTTTCTGGAGAATGAGACACATTGGTAACACATGATGAATTCTTGTCGTAACAACAATTCGAGCCAGAATTGAACTCGGAGTTCTGAAGCGTCTCCGAGAACAGCTCGGGGTCACAGAAATCAAACATTTGTGCATTGATCGGACTCGAGATTTCTTCCTGAGAAGACGCCATCAAAAGCCAACATCAACACCATGAACACATACCAAAACTACAAATAGAAACCACTTCAGAAATGAAACGGATCAAAACAAAAACAAGAGGGTGTTCTGATATAACAACCGATATGATCTTAGGGACGACGATCGTGTAGAAATCGACGTTTGCTTCGAACGAGCAAGAAGCACGATTCTTCATATTAGAACCAGAAGATGAGAATTATAAAGCACACACAAACACATAAAGTTAGTGTTCAAAAGGAAGGAATGGTCTCTAATGCTGCATGTTTGTTGTGCAAAGTTGAAAATGATATGCATTTATGCTCGTGTGACGGAAAAGCAAGAAGCTAATGGAATACTAAATATGGTCGGATTAGTGGCAAATGTTCTAAGTTTGGACAAACAAAGAGAATTTAAAACCCACTTTCATTTTCTCTCTCATTTATCTTAAACATAAGGAACAAGAATCAAACCCGGAAATGATATATCAAGAACATTTAAGCCACGTGAGGATTGTTGGGAGCGAGTCCCAGTCGGCTAATTAAGAAGGCGATCATGGGTTTTAAGTAAGGAATACATCTCCATCGGTATGACGTCTGTTGAGGAAACAAAAAACAAAGCCACGAGAGCTAATACTCAAAGTGGATAATCATGATTCCTAACGTAGTATTAGAGCAATGCACTTAAGTTGCTAGCTTCGAAGGTGTAGTCAAAAGTGACTCAAAGGTCGAACAAAGGATGTATTTTGTTCGAGGGCTCTAGAGAAAGGAGTTAAGCCTCGATTATGGGGAGGTGGGAGGAGGCTCGAGGGCTACATAGGGTCTCAGGGGAGGCTCCATGGTGTTCTTTGTTCGAGGACTCCAAAGAAAGGAGTCGAGCATCGATTAAAGGAAGGCGGGAGGCGGTTCGAGGGCTACATAGGGTCTCAGGAGAGGCTCTATGGTGTACTTTATTCGAGGGAAGGATTGTTGGGAGGGAGTCCCACATTGGCTAATTAAGAGGATGATCATGAGTTTACAAGTAATGAATATATCTCCATTGGTACGAACCTTTCGAGAAAACAAAAAACAAAACCACGAGAGCCAATATTATACCATTGTAGAGAGTCGTGATTCCTAATAACATGTTCCCGGGACCTATTCTCAAGCACAAAGAACTGAAAAGGGCAGCTGGGAATTTTGTCATATACCTTATGGGCATTCATGAAAAAGGAGACGACGAACGACAAAGCTGACTCGAACACTCATGAATATCATACAAAAAGAGATAAAAAAAAGGGTAAGAAGATTACAATGGGGAGGATTTGCTCCGACACAGAGCGGCGGCCGACGTCCTGCAACATAGCTGGAGTAGAATGAACCAAAAGGGGTTGTCTCTAAAATGCAAAAGAACAGAAAAACAGTGGATTTTGGTGCATCAAAGAAGAAGTTTCAGTGAAATGGAAGAAGAAATACAAAGAACACAAAAAACAAATCTCCATGGGAAGCCAAACAGGATAAAACAGAGACAGAGATTTATAGTAAAAAACAAGGAGAAATGTCCTGTCTGTGTGTTGTGTGTTGATTTTTTTGGTTTCTAGAGAGAGAAAGTTAGAGAGAGAGAGAGAGAGGGAAAGTTGTTATTTTTCTAGGTGTAGGGATGTCCGTGCGCCGTCAGCCTGGCATTCAACGACTGGTCAACCCGATGGTCGCGGTGGGCCAATCTATATCTTAGTTTAACGTTGTTATTTTGACCTCCCATGACACGTGGACACCTTTTATCTTACAAATATACTTTTAATTATTTTTAAACTAAATTCAATTTTTTGGTTTATATTTTAAACCAGTCAACTTTCTAAGGTCAAAACAATCTTAAAATAAATGTCTTATTGTATTTTAATTAATTAAAATAATGGAAGCCGATAGAAAATTCATCGCTCGAGTTGCTTTTTTGTTCTCTAATTCTTGGACAAGACGTTTTGCTCATAAAATATAACTCTGTTTAAAAAATATATTTACTATTATTTTTGGATTTAACTGGTTAATATTATGTTTAAAAAATATTCTTAAATTTTTAAAAGGGTTTCAGAATTGTTCTTTTTAATTATCAAAGGTGTTTAAAAAACACCCGTTTGGTTCAAAAATTTCATTAATACTTTTTTAAAAACTTAAAAAACGTTTTAAACATTTTTTAAAAGTTCAAAAATACTCTTAACGTTTGTACAATGTTTCAAAAATATACATTTTCAAAAGTAGCATTAAAAAGTTTGAAAATAATCTATAAGGTATCGATAGATGATTTCCATCTATATATTAACAGTATTTTTTTTTTTTAACGAAGGGTGTTAATGTTACTTTAAACATAGTATTAAAAGTTATTTTTAACTTTTTTTTAAAAAATTAAAGATTTTTTTAAAGTTTTAACGTTATTTTTAAAATAGAGTATTATCAGTTTCATTCAATTTTTTTTTTTCAAAGTTAGGGTATTATTAAAATTTTTGAAAATTTAAAGTTTTTTTTTTAAGATAAATTATAAAATTTATGAATATTTTTATTAATTTAACATTTTTTATTGAATTTAATAAGAAAACATCATAATTTTAATACGAAACTATTATTTTAATGGATGTTGCTAAATTCTTTAATAACTTTAAAACCTTAAAAAAATGAAATAATCTCCTCGACCAATGAGAAGGAGACACTTGGCCATATATTATTGTTTTTTTAATAAAAAAAAAGGAAGAAGATAAGATTTGATTTCACAAATGATGTCTAAAGGATGTCTATAAGTGATTTGATTTCAAAATTAATCACTTTATCATCTTAATTTTTGTTTTTTTTTTTGGGAAATTTAATTACCATTATTGTTTTGGCGAGTGGAAAGAGAACCTTGACTTTGGTTTGACCAACATGTGTGACATAAGATATGATTTGATTGAGATATATTCTATTCCTAATCTTTTTTATTTATTCAACTTTAACAATAATCCCAATATCATATTTTATATTCACAAAAATTGGATAAATGAAAATTTTATTACGACTACGTATTGTGTGTGTTGTGTCATAATTACACTTGTGGCAACAGACAACGATTCTGCAGCTCTTATGCTAACCCAACGAACAAGTCAGTCATGTCTCACAAAATATGATCGAGTTTCGAGTCATGTTTGAGAGAAATATTTTAGAAAACGTGAGCAAGAAAATGCGTTGAAAACAATATTATAGGTTATGAACGAATAAGCAACAACTACAACTTTGATAGAATATAACTCGAAAAGAACGAATTGACAACTAGTCACATCCCGCTATAATGCATTTTGGAGTATTTTAGCTGGCGTAGGTGTTAGACAGAATTTTGGTGAGCAGTAATCATGTAGTCATGGACAACACATGCTGTACAAGCTTGACTGAGACATCCAACATGCGGTCACAAGCAACAAGCCTTGGTCAAGTATGACTATGACACGTAGCCATCATCATCAGTCCCTAAGAAAAAGGTTTATAAATATATAAATAGGTGGACTCATCGTTGGAATCGAAAAATGCAAACACATGCAATATGAATCATGTCGTTCATTCCTAGTGAGACCTAAAATCATGGTCTTGGGCTCCCGTTCCTTTCATATGCTCGAGATTTGTATCACTTTCACACACAGAATCCACCCTACTCATACAAATTTCGTAACCACTAGGCCTCGTTGGTATCAATTTCATATGCACCGACCCTACACTAAATAATATATGCATGGAGGGGCAATGAATGCATCATTATTCATACCTATATGAATCACACACATATGAGGTCTCACACGTATAAAACATTATTTACAATATGTGATGCAACATCGTAAACATTTCTTTTCATAAAACATTTTCATAACAATTCACCCGACCAAGAACATATTCCAACCGTAAGAACACTTCGATTATGGCTTAAATAGCTATAAACTTATATGGAGGCTATCTCAACCTCTAACATAACCCAACGATGCCCAAATCTATTCACAACTATCGATAAATACGTGTATAAACCCTCTCGTTCATAACTCCTTTCCTACTTAGATGCTTACAGAACTCTCAAATTAACTTTAAATTAAGAGAGCAAACTCAATAACGTCTAGCAATGTCAAGCAAAACCAAGATAACGACAAACTAGCTCGAAATTCTCGAGTAGATCTTCAAGCATTTTCCACATTTCGAGACGAAATTCCCTTCTAAAAGAGGAACCGATTTTTTCTAGTTTGAACCTTATGCTGTTTTGCAGTTCAGAGATATTGTTCCAATCCATAGATCTTAACGTACATTTCTAGCCTTTACTAAAGATGAAACATATTCCAAGCTTTGAATGGATCCATTTTCTGCTACTCAAAACTCAAGTCTTTCTACGATCGGTACCCGAGTTCTTCGATCATGTGCTCGTGTGCTCGTTTCCATAATGAAGGTTAGAACCCGAACACAGCGCCTACAAAGGCTGTCTCACTTTTTAAATGCCCCTATCATGTCAGCATTTGGTTTAGTAAGTTCTACATATTCTTGTTCTTTTGCTCCCCTCCCTCCGTCGTCGTCCTTCCGGATAACGACGTCGGTACTTTAGGCAAAAGTAATTCAAGGCATCCGAAAATCGTATCAATGACCTAAATGAGCTGATAAGGCTTTCACACTAATGACAGAATCCCGTTTTGAAAAGCACATTATTGAGGGGGAGCGGGTCGATTTCTATCGGTATGCAAACAAGAGTATCAAAAAAAGAAAACAGTAGATATTAGTTCGATACGATGAAGAACAGAGAGAGCTCTTACCTGTCTATCTGCTATTGGCGAGTGGTAAAGTAGTGAACTCGGTAAAGCAGCTTCGCTTTTGAACCTCGTAAACTATCAGCCCGCTTCGCTTCTCCACTTATAGAATTGCTTAACCTTTCTAGGCTTCTTTCTTGAACCTTCTTTCACTCAATAAAGACGGATGCTAAGGCTAGCAAGTTGAACCGGATCATCGAATGCATACTTGGACTTCGTCTACCTCGTCAAGGGAACCCGGACACTTCCCTTGCACAACCCATTGTTCTTCTTTTGACGATGAACTATTCCATTACAACAAGCTTCTTTTTTCGCCGGGTTTCATTCGATTTGTAGTGGCTTGGATGATGGAGAACCCCATGAAACATTAGAATTCATACGGTGTAGCGTCTTTCATTAACGATCTAGAGTTTACATCAGAAGAGGGCATCAAAACCCAATAAAACCCAATAAACATTAGTTCTATGTTTCGATGAACACTCGACAAGAGACAATAATTGTTGATCTGATGCAGCAATGAATGATATTACACAAAGAAGAAAGTTAAAGACTTCTTTAAGAGATAGATAGTTTTTAATTCAATATTCAATAAAATTGTTGAAAGAACAAAAGGAAAAATGAAGAATATAATCACAAGTAATTAAAAACGAGCACAAACTATAAAAAGAACCGTAAAACGTCTTCAGGTTAAGTATCTCGACGCATGAGCGAAACCCCACAACTGCAAAAACAACAAAAGCTTATGTAAAAGCCATCACTTTCACTTTATATTACTAAACGTATAGTAGGACAAGGCATGTAACGGCCCAAGCCTATCGCTAGCAGATATTGTCCTCTCTGGGCTTTCCCTTTCGGGCTTCCCCTCAAGGCTTTAAAAGGGGTTTGCTAGGGATAGGTTTCCACACTCTTATAAAGGGTGTTTCGTTCTCCTCCCCAACCAATGTGGGATATCACAATCCAACCCCCTTCGGGGCCCAGCGTCCTTATTGACACACTGCCTCGTGTCTGCCCCCCTTCAGAGAACAACCTCCTCGCTGGCACATAGTCCGGTGTTTGGCTCTGATACCATTTGTAACGGACAAGCCCACCGCTAGCAGATATTGTCCTCTTTGGGCTTTCCCTTTCGGGCTTCCCCTCAAGGCTTTAAAACGCGTCTGCTAAAAAAAGGTTTCCACACCCTTATAGAGGGTGTTTCATTCTCCTCCCCAACCAATGTGGGATATCGCATGGCACGTGCATGCCAGTGGCTTTCATTTGCTCAACGGGTAGATATTCAAGCTATGCAAGTTTGAGAAGTTAACTTACCTCGACATTTTTCAGCTCGAACTCTGGGTCGTGCGCCAAGCATAAGCTACCAAATGTGTCACATGGTCCACTACTTCCATTTAATCTTGTTACATGAAAGTAGACAACTTAGTAAAGTTTGCTGTATAACAAGAGTGGTAGGCAAAAGTTCGATGGAAAAAAAACAGAGCGACTCACAAGTCATCGTCCAAACGTAAGGCAAAGCTACCACCGCCTCCGATTGCTAGTAAATCATTCAAGCAAATATAATAGTAGGGGTTAGCTCCTGCATCAGTGGAACAAACACAACTTTGTCAAATAACAGCGGAATAGAATCGTGGCCTCGGAGATTGGCCGGGAAGAGATGGAGAGTCGTTCGATTTTGAAAAACAATGGAAGTACAAAAGTAAAAGCCGAAAACCAAAGAGAGGAGCAAAGAAAACTCCTTGGAAGTTTGGAACTTTAAAAGAGACAAATATGACTATCAATATATCCCAAGTGAAGACGAGCTCCTTGGAAAAGGTAAAGCGACGACATATCGATGGTTTCGTTATCAGAAAAGCCTCTGTTTAGATGAAAACGCAAGGAAGAAGCCTTCGGGCAAAGGAAAACAAGAAGAAATGTATGCTGCTTTTGTGGAAGAAAGGTAGAAAAACACGAGGAAACGAACAATGGAGACCATGAATTTCCTCGATCATTGTATTCATACATACCGACAAACAAAGAAACACGTGCATAAATGAGGCAAACTAATATATTTCAAAAATTGAACAAAACACGCGCAACACATAGGACTGATATACTTAACAATATGATCGAGTTCCCCATCGAACACGCCAAAACAGAATATTTACCAGTTGCTCTAAAGAGCCTTGGATCGCCATATTTGGTCGTGAAAACAAACGTTTGGTTGGTTCCCTATCAAATAGAGACAATCATAAAAATTAGATCGAAGTTACAGTATGAGGGGCGAAGAAATACAGGTCGGTTTAGAAGCTAAAAGAACTTCTAAATGCCAATCTCCTTTCCTTCCCCCCGGTGTCAAAAGTCGTATGAATATGCAACCATTTTAAAGGGAATGGAGGGACAAGAAAAAGCTACTCACTTGATATTTTCGTTTGGGCGTAGGCTTCAAAGGGCATTCTAGAAGACCACCAAATACGGCGCCTCGTGTATCTCCGACAATCTAGATTAAATAACCACATTTTATCGCTTAAAAGTTCTATCATCAGAGAAACTAAAACAGTCACGGGGCGACATACCAGTAAACAAGGGCCAGAAAGATTGTGGCTATTGCGAATAAGAGTTTGAAGCGATATACCATGCTTCGTTGTACTGCCCTTCATTTGAAACGAAACGAACCGGATCACAGATCAAATATAAACAAAATACTTCATTTGATATAGCTCGAAGTTATAATATTTCAGCCGAACTACCTGTACAGTAAGATCCATTTGCATCCTTTCACAATGTTGGGTAGACAACATCCCAGGAATTCATACAAGTCGGCAGAGATGAAAGCGGATGTATCTGTGAGGTCTGATATCGGATTCCTCGGAGTTGGCTGCTCCATAGCTTCTTCAAATACTTTCGAACTACTCGTGCTCCTTCCAAATGCCGGGTCATCATCGTGCTTACTGTATATTTCTTCCGCCTTGCATCGTATAGTACATTCTAAACGGGTATCTGGGCCTTCCTCCTGGAAATCATTGTTTGCATCGTAAAACGGAACCGAGGGAGACTGAACTTCATTGGTGTCTTGGTGAGAATCGGTCGATTTAGATCCACGTATGGACGGGATTACTAAGGATAAATATGACGACAGTGATTTTCTTCCTTTCGACTTTGGCCTGGCCTACATAACTAAAACCATGTCACAAGCCAATAGGTAAAGACATTCACAAATGAATCGATCAAAGAAAAGGAGATGAAACATTGAGATTGAAACCTCTACTCATATACAAGCTTTATGATCTCAAAATAACAGGGGTCAAGGTCAAGGTCAGCCAGTGAGACAATGGGGGATAAGCTTTATCGTCGAAAGGAAAACAGCCCGGATCACCAACTAAGGCCCCTAAAGGACCGCTTAAAGGACCGCTTAGTGACAAAGGAGGTAGGGGTCAATCAAGCAGTTCTATAGCCTAATATTAGAGTGTGGGGAAAGTGAGGTAAGTACTAAAAGATACATGCGAAATGTGAATCAAATACCATAAAATGAAACCTGAGGTCCTAAATACCTCAAACATAATTCCTCCGGTCAAACATCTTGTTTCCTATAAGTACTCGAACCAATAACCATATTAGTACATAACAAGGTTAGGAACCACAAATCTCTACAATGGTATGATATTGTCCACTTTGAGCATAAACTCTCATGACTTTGATTTTGGTTTCCCCAAAAGGCCTCGTACCAATGGAGATGTATTCCTTACTTATAAACCCATGATCAACTCTTTCATTAGCCGATGTGGGACTCCTCTCCCAACAATCCTCAACAATCCTTCCCTCGAACAAAGTACACCATAGAGCCTTCCCCTGAGGCCTATGAAGCCTTCCAACAACCTCCCCTTACGAGGCCCGACTCCTTCTCTGGAGCCCTCGAACAAAGTACACCCTTTGTTCGGCACTTGAGAGTCACTTTTGACTATACCTTCAAGTCCCACAACTCCTTTGTTTGACATTTGAGGATTTTATTGACATGGCTAAGTTAAGGCCATGACTCTGATACCATGATAGGAACCACGAATCTCCACCGTATATGATATTGTCCATTTGAGCATAAGCTCTCATGGTTTTGATTTTGGTTTCCCCAAAATGCCTCATATCAATGGAGATGTATTCTTTACTTATAAACTCATAATCAACCATACTCGAACATTAGCCCTACATTAATCCCCTTCACGGGGTCCCAAATATCCAAATACCCACAAAACCAATCCCCACCCAGACCATAAAATCACAAGACACACAATCTCTAAACAGCATTCAAGATAGGGATCAAGCCAAAAACAATCATAAACAATCGCAAGAACCTGAGTATGAGGATCAGGCGCCGGCGGTTTCGGGGATCCCGAGGTAGTGAAATTAGAGAAGAGGCTGGAGAACCTCTCGGAGAGCTTGTCCTTGAGAGCATACATCTGGGTCAATGAAGATCAAAACGAAAAAGGGAAACGAATAATCTTTCAAGCTGGGGTTGCTTGGACCTTCATGATTCTGTGTTCTTCAAACTTTGGGTTCCCCAGGATTGAAGAAATCAAAGAGAAAAGAAGGAAGCGAAGGGTGTCGGTGAAGGATAGAGACACTCACAGATGGGTGTTGCAGTGAATCTCAGACGGCTGTAAGAAGAAATTATGGTAAGAGAACGGTGGTGGGGTGATCTTCGACTATGAAATATATACATTGAAGCCTAGTTATGAATTGGATCAGTTTAGACGGAAATGGTTAATATTTTTCACCTCATCTTTAACTGTAAATGTAATTATTTTGGGGATTAATGTGTTTCAGACCCAATTTTAGATATTAAAATTGTAAAAGCTTGCAAATTTTGAAATTAAAAAGAGTGGTTGACTTTTTCAATAGAGAGGGTGGACTTTTTTTTTTTTTTTAATATTAATTTGTTTTTTCCTAAAAAAGAATATAAAAATATTTAAGGAGGGTAGGGATATTTAGTCTCATAGTACATAAAATGTCGGACGAAGCTAATTTTTTTTTACTGTTTTGATGGGCCTACTTTGGGCCGAAGCTAATTTTTTTTTACTGTTTTGATGGGCCTACTTTGGGCCGGATCTGAGCTGGCTGTTCGAGCATTCTCGACCAAGAGATTTATTTCACACCCTCATTGTTCAAAATCAATTTTTTTTTTTTGTTAAAACCTTTAAATTTATTTCAAATTACTATAATCTGGGTTAAAAATGTGTTTGATGTGAAATTTCGAGTTAATTAGATGGGTGATCTGAACAACTTGAATAGAGTTTGCAATCCATCTCGAATGGGTGGAATCGAGGAAGGCTTCTCCATCCTCCTCCTCATCCCCGTTAAAATCTCAAAATTGACTGATTTATTTTTTTAATAACCCTATAATATAGTATTTATAGATTAAGTTTGGTGGGTGGGGAGTGGAGCCGAGAATATAGTCCAATCTCTTGACTCCATTTCTATAACAGAAAAAAAATGTTTTCCACTCCCTCGTCATTCTCCATCTAAACCTAGTAACTTAGCTACGCAGATAAAGTGAATATCTATAAGCATAAGCTTATATAGTAAGACATCCGCTCCGAGCTGAAATCTCTTCCATCCCATGTTCCCGAAAAAGGGTAAATATAAATTGATTTATAAATTTAAATAAGCAATGAAGCAAGCAAGGAAGATGGATGTGGACTACTACAAATGTTTTTAGATTCCTTCGGCCATTTGAACAATCCAATAAGTTCTCCCTCTCCAAGGAGACCATAAAACTCCATTATTTTAATGGCTTAACACAGTTTCACCATCTCAATAAAAAGAAAATGGCATTCCCAATTTCCCTCCACTCTTTCCTTCTCCCCAAGTTTCCGTTTCACAGCGCTTCCTCTCTCTCTGTCCCTTTGCGAGGACTGAATAGCAAAAAGATTCCCTTCTCTCCTCTCCCATCTGCACATTTTACAGAGAGGTACGGTTTGGTTTGAGGAATTGAACTGAGCCCTCCATTGTTCTTCAGATTAAACCAAAACCCATCTCTCAAATCCGACTGAATTCTTCAATGAAATCGAAATCTCCCCATGATTTGAGGTATTAGTGAACAAACCCCAGATGGGTTTTGAATCCTTTTTCTTCATCATCGTCTTCCTCATTTCCCTCTCTTGTTTGGTTGAATCTGGTTCTGACTACACCACATTGATCTACAAGGGCTGCGCCAAGCAAGGATTCTCAGATCCAAATGGCGTTTATTCACAAGCTCTGGCTGCTTTGTTCGGCTCTTTAGTTTCACAATCCGCCAAAGGCTCCAAGTTCTTCAAAACCACCTCTGGCACCGCTCAAACCTCCATCACCGGCCTCTTCCAATGCCGAGGGGATCTCAGCAACTCCGATTGCTACAACTGTGTGAGCAAACTCCCTGAATTAGCCGATAGTCTCTGCGGCAAAACCATTGCAGGTAGAGTTCATCTCTCAGGCTGCTATTTGCTGTATGAGTTTCCTGGGTTTGCTCAGATATCAGGGTTTGAAATGCTGTATAAAACTTGTGGGGCTACCAACATTGCTGGAAGTGGGTTTGAAGAGAGGAGGGATACAGGGTTATCTGTGTTGGAGAATGGCGTGGTGAGTGGCCATGGATTCTACACTACTAACTATCAATCTCTGTATGTGTTGGCTCAATGTGAAGGAGATTTGGGGGATTCTGATTGTGGTGAGTGTGTGAAACATGCTGTGCAAAGAGCTCAGGTTGAATGTGGAAGCTCAATTTCAGGGCAAGTTTATTTGTATAAGTGCTTTATCAGTTATAGTTATTACCCAAATGGAGTTCCAAGGAGATCTTCATCATCATCTTCTTCTTCATCATCATATTCTTCATCTCCATCAGGTAAAACCCTCAAACTTTCAGTGAATAACAGTTTAGCTCACACAACTGACACAGCCATGATTTTGGCACCTGGGTTAGATCTGAAATGCATCAAATTCAAACCAAAACACATGTTTTTGCAACTCATAGAGCTAATGAAGGAGCTAGTGTTCTTGTGTTCTTGATTTCTGAAAGTATATTGATATGAAAGGCTTAATTTGGTGTCAGGGATGGGGCAAAACACAGGGAAGACAGTGGCAGTGATATTAGGAGGGGCAGCAGGTGTGGGATTTCTGGTAATTTGCTTGCTTTTCATCAGAGGTTTGAAGAAGAAACATGATGGTATGCATCAAGAACATGAGTTTGATGCAAATTTCTGCCATTTTTGGTTCAAAAACTTCCATTGATTGATCGAGTTCATCTTCTATCATCTGCAGGACATTGATACAGAGGAAGAGTCGAAGTTTTTTTTGAGGTAAAGAATGGAAAGACAAAATCCAAATTGCTTTAGTTTTCTTTTGCTTTGTCTTATAAAGAGGATGGGAATTTTTTTTGAGTTGACAAAGACTGTTCTTAGTACTGTGGTCTGAAAAGCTTGCTGATAAGAGAAGAAGGAATATCAGTGCATGGAAGGAAGGGAAGGTAACAAAAAGAAAAAGGAAAAAGGAAATATCAGAACTGAAGGAGAAGGGAAGAATGTTTTTTTTTTCTCTCTTTCCTTTTTTTTTTTTTTAAAATTTTTATTTTAATATTTTTGTTATCTTATTGCTTTCTTTATAGCCATGTGGGTGTTTGTCTCTTTTCTTATATCTCCAACTCGTTTGTTTCTCCTCATAGCTCAGATCTTTATACGCTTTAAAAAAGCTGCCTTCTTCTCGAAGATTTCAAAGTCCAACTATTTTACTATAAATCTTTAGGTTTTGTACATACTCTTAAATTTTAAAACGATTCATTCCCGTTGGTTTTTGTTTGGTTAGCAATGGTAGCCGTGAGAGATCAACCATCAACTTTTGTAATGATAACTGATGTCTTATTCAATAAGTTAGGCTTGAATGGTTGAAGTTTTGATGAATTAATAGCCTGATTTCGAAATTTGACCTATTAAATATCAAAAGAAGCTTCCCGGGTGATCAGGCATGTGAATCACCTACGACTATTGTAAAAAAAATCAACCTATATGTCGGAGGAGAGTTTCGAATTCAACTCTTTCCGATGAAATGAGCTTTAACAAGTTGAGTTTTAGTGATTTAGCAGAAGAAATCACATCTTCTCATCAAGATCTTTATTCTCATCCTCTGAAAAGTAAAAAGAAACCAGAAACTCCTTAAAAAGATGCAACTTGAGGACCTAAGGAGGCAAATATTGTTCTTAATGCACTTGATGTTCATCAATAGTCTACGAGTGTTCTTCTCAAAAACGCTATTCTCAAAGACATTCTCAAAAGTTGAAAATTGAAACTAAAGAAAAGAAATCAGGCTATGTTTAACAGAAACACAATTGGACGAAAAAACAGATATCTAAACAAAACTAAATCCAGTCGATAGTGACCAAATTGCTCCATTTCTGCACAAACTATAAAACAGAGACATAGAGGGATGCAAACTAGTAGACTAGAAATTGCATAAGTTAATAAAGAAAGGGGAACAAACAGAACTCTACCAAGAACAAACTGGTCTTCCTGTCTTCTGTTCAGTCAGTGAACATTTATGGATTATCAGAGTTGAACAAAGAAATATGGTCCCATGTTCTGACATCCAGATAATGCCATAATTTCATAAGGCATTCAAAGACTTTCCAGATAAAACAACAAAATCATATACAGAAAGAAGCCTCCTATAATTTCATAAGGCATTCAAAGACTTTCCAGATAAAACAACAAAATCATATACAGAAAGAAGCCTCCTAAGAAACATTTTAGGCCATGGAAGTGGCATTCAAAGACTATAAACTACAAAGGAAGACAAACTATGCAAAGGGAAATACAAAAAAAACTTCCACTGCCAATAAGAGAAGCTACCAAGAGAGAGCAATATAAGTTAGGTGATCAAAGAACTTATCAGAAACGGTATCCTGTCCGATTGTGTATCAGCCATGAATGCCAAAAGAAAGGTAGAATGAAGCATCTCCATACAAAACTTTACTTTTCCCTGCCGAAGGGCTGATCTTTAGAACAACTTCCAAAAAAGTAAACAAGTCCACCGTATGAGTTAAATGCCAATTCAAAGCCGCAAGGATTTGCTTCCAGAATAAATATGCAAAGGGCCATGTGATGAAGAAATGATGCAAAGAAACATGGACTAAGTGGCAAACAGAGACTAAAAATGAAACAAACAAATAGGAAGGATGGGTTGTAGAGTACCCAGTATGGAGAGGAATCCAAAAGCTGTTCAGATAATTTTAAGTTAACCTGTAACAGCAAGAACTCAAATGGCCTATCTGAGGGAAAATAAGAACTCCAAGTTACATAGTGAAAAGATATTAGCCCTGATAAAATGCAGTCATACTTAACAGTTAATTACCAAAGGCTAGGCACCTGAAATTAAGGCCATAAGAACATGATAAAACACCAAAATGGCTATTCAATCTGAAGCATCTAACACGATTCATAACGACAATTCATGGAAGACGGTTAGCGAAGCAAAACAATCAATTTGTAGAGCTTGAAAAAATGTCGGAGAAGAAGAAATTTTCAATTCTGGGCATCGAACAATTTCTCTCAAAAAGGAAACAATCATAATATAAGTTTACAAAAGCAATCCAGAGCTTTATGAGAAGAAGAAACTTGGAATTGATTCTGAATTCAATTCATATAACTTCGCAACATAACTCTAACTCTCCAAAATCTCAATCGCTAACAACGTCACATCTAATCCGCAGTCACAAACAAAGGAACAAAGATACAACGACATTGTACGCAATCAAAATCCATCCTAAACCCATAAAAAACCCTAAATAGCAACAACATCATGGAGTACCCTTAATCTGAAGCCATCAAGTAAATCATTTCGGAGCACCGGTGGCTGGAGCACCAAGTAAACTCGCCTGCTGCATCTCGAGCTCATTGAACTGCTGTTCGCGATCCATTTCAATGATGAGCGGCACCACCAAGATGAGAAAAGTCGTCCCTGCAATCCACGCAGCTTTACCGGTGCTACGAAGGAGCTTCTGGGAGACGAATGCGGCATCAGAAGCCGTACTTTTCGCCCGCTGCACGATTTGTGAATCGGAGACAGACCGGGAAACCCTAGCCAAGACGCCTAAATTATCATCACCATTAGTGACAGAAGGCCGCTTATTACCTCGAGACGCCATGAAAGGATACAGAAGGAGAAATTGAAACAGTGGAAGGAAGAATCGACGCGATCCAGTTGACAGAGATCATATACTGAAAATAAAAAATTAAATAAAAAATTAAAAAAAAGCTTAGGGTTTTGGGTGTCTGAAAAAAGCCCAGCCCAGTAGGGAGTAAGAATAAAGCCCAATTAAACTAAGCCCATTTGGCTAAATAAAAATAATTAAAAAAAAAATTCTAAAAATTGTAATTACCATTAATATTTAAAAACACCATTTTAAGACCAACCATAAATAAATAAAAAAAGAAAAAAGTCCGTGGCCAATCAAAAGCCGCCACGTCAAAACAACCTCTGGAAATTTTCCCGAGAAAATTTCAGGGGAAAAGAAAAAAACTCAAGATTTTCCGAGAAAATTTCTTTGACCGATCAAAGAAACCAAATCCCGCATTCCTTTCGCCTCCCCTACCGTTTCTTTATTCTCCTCCAAACACAAAAGATTTCCCCAACAATTCCCAAAATCAAATGGCCCTTCCTTTGATTCTCCCTTAAATGCCTTCTCCTCCTCCCTCCTCCCCATTGCCGGCGCCGTCCTGCCGGTCCCTCTCCTCTCCGTCCTCAATCTAACCTTTCTCCACCCGTCTTCAACCATGTCCATTCTCAACCCCTTTCAGCTTCTAGAGCTCAATGTCATCTCAGCTCAAGATTTGGCTCCTGTCTCCCGTTCCATGAGGACCTACGCCGTCGCCTGGGTTCACCCTGACCGGAAATTATCCACCCGAGTCGACACTCACGGCCACAACAACCCAACATGGAACGACAAGTTTGTATTCCGCGTCGATGATGAGTTCTTGCACGCCGACACCTCCGCGGTAATGATCGAGATCTACGCTTTACATTGGTTTAAAGACATTCATGTCGGAACTGTTCGGATTCTTGTCGGGAATCTCATCCCCACTCAGCCGCGTCTCCATCAATTCAGTCAGCAGCCGCAAGTCGGAATGCGATTTGTGGCACTTCAAGCACGGCGACCCTCTGGTCGGCCACAGGGGATTTTGAATATTGGGGTTGCTCTGCTTCATAGCTCGATGAGGAGCATGCCGTTGTATTCGCAATTGAGTACCTCGGCGATTGGGTACCGGGATCTAATGGGGGAGGAGGACGGTTTTCATAATAGTCGCAGCCATGGGACTCCGACGGCGACGACGCTGCCGAAGATGAGAAGGTCGAAGAGCGATACGAGCTCCATGATGGGATCGGAGCTTCGTGGGTCGGAGATTATGGGTAAAACAACGAAATCGAAGGCGAGTTCTATGGTGGATGGATCGGAAATTTCTAAGACGAAGAAAAAGGGGCGATCGAAAGCGAGTTCGATGATCAGTGGATCGGTCGGAATTAAACGAAAAGAGAAATCGAAGAAGGCGAGTTCGATGCTTAGTGGGTCGGGGATTGAAGAGGCTTACAATAAGAAGAAAACAGAGAAACCGAATCCGTTCAATGTAGCGAATAATGATGTCTACAAAATTGAGCCGCCGCCGTCGAGCAAAAAGGAAACCAAACCCAATTCCGGCTATGAAAAACCCATTTCGATTCTGGAATTCATCGATTCGCCGCGGATTCATCCTGGTTTAGAAACGCCCAATCCGAGGTATGATAAAATGCCGTACGCTACGCCGTTGAGGACTCCTCGGAGGCTGACCGGTGGCGGCGGTACTGCTAAAGGAACTCCGATGCACGAAACGCTGCGAAGAGCGACGCCATTGCAAGGGAGATCGTCCTTTACGAAGAATAACGAATTTACTTATACCACGCCGAGGAAATCGAATTTGGCCGGCGCGTTTTTTACGGAATCGGAGCTTGGTCCTTCGCCGTCGGAGGTGGCGGCGAAAATGGCGATGCAGAAAATTGATGATAATGCGAGCTCGACGGTTGATGGGGCGAGCGTGAATGAAAGCGTTGAGGGTTTACAGTCGAAGCTGGAGAGATGGCGGACGGAGCTCCCGCCGGTGTTTGATCGTGGTGAGTCGCCGAGCTTTCCGACGAGTGAACCCCGACATAACCGTAGTCACAGCGACGGCGGTGGGTTGTTCTCCTGTTTTAGCAACATTTGCGGCTGCGAATGCTCCATCGTCTGCGGCGGATCACCAAAAACACCAAAGAAATCCGGCGGTAGCCGTGTTGCTCGGAGCCCATCGGCGGACAATGTGAGCTTCGTTTGAAAACGCGAAGAACATGAATTCTTTTCGGGTCGGGTTGAACCCGTGGACCTAAATGAGTAACCCGAATCAAAATCAAACCAAAACGAACCGTTTTTCTTTATTAACGTGGGCAGGTGGTCAAAAGACAAATTTAACCCTAACAGGATAAAGGAGGAAACACAATACAGAGACAGCCAGCCAGTGTCAATAATGTCAATCTACAATCCCTCATTCTTTCTCTATACTTGTTTTTCCATTTTCCTTTTTTTTTTTTCTAATAATTCTTTTTTTTTTTTAACTTTAAATTGAAAAAAAAGGAAAGGAAATTTTTACTTCATTTTTCTATAAATGTAATTGGATTAATTTGTAAAATATTCTTATATTTATTTTTTTCATGTGCTGTTGATTATTTTTTATTTACAGATTTTAATGTTTTTTAGATCCCATTAGAGCATTTAATTTGTTTAATTAATAAACTTATTTATTAAAAAAAAAACTCTATTTTTATGTTTTTTTAAAAAATAATTAGTATTGTACAAATTTTTGTAATAAATACTTTAAAAAAATGAAAATTTTATACCTTTATAAATTTGAATTAAAAAGTCATTTCTAATAAATAAATAAATCACACAAAATTTAGTTGATAAAGTTATTTTTAGTCCTTTTAAAACCTCTCCAGAAAAATTATTACAAGTCACTCAACATAAAATTACTCTAAGACAAACATGTTTAATTTTAGAGTGATTATGATTAAAATAGAACGTGAATCTGGTTAGTACTGAAGAGCTTGAAGAAGGAACAAGGCTAAAATCTCTACAATATTTTACAGTCACCGTCTTCTCGAGCAACACGGGTTTTGACATCCACGATTATCGATCGTCATCGAGTAGCTACGAACAATCGAACCATGGAAAATGTCATACTTCTTGATAGAACAAACTGAAGAACAGTATGAGATGAATTCAAAGCAAGGAAGACAGACATACTCGTTGAACAAAATCATCAGCTTTTGGCGTTTAGTTTCTCCAAGAGAATCTTGTTTAGAAGCCCTGGATTTGCTTTACCTTTGGATGCTTTCATCACCTGGCCAGCAAAAAAGCCTTGCAGCTTGGTTTTGCCACCACGGTACTGTTCTAGCTGATTTGGATTCTCTGCTAGTACTTTCTCCACCATTCTCTCTATCTCGGCCGGATCGGCGATCTGCCAGTACAAAATAGCCAGAGATGATCATTGTTTCGGTTAGTTATTTGTGTCGTATTGTCGTTATCAAGTAAACTGTATACTAGCTATCGACTGGCTTCATTCTTTTTCCTTTTCTTTGGATAAGAAATGAGAACGACTTCGTTGGCTACTCCAAAGGGACGAGGAGTCCCCTCCTCAAAACCGAAAGGAGTTGCAAGAAGACCTTCCTATCAAAGTTGATGATGCAAGTGGTGTAGTTACAAAAGAGTTTGTGTTGGCTACTCCAATTAGAGGCCGTGAACGGTACAAAATTGTAATGCTAGCCGATATTGTCCTCTTTGGGCTTTCCCTTTCGGGCTTCCCCTCAAGGTTTTTAAGAACGCGTCTGCTAAAGAGAGGTTTCTACACTCTTATAAAGAATGTTTCATTCTCCTCCCCAACCGATGTGGGATCTCACAATCTACCCCCTTTGGGGCCCGGCATCCTCACTGACCCTTGTTCCTATCTCCAATCAATGTGGGACCCCATAATCCACCCCCCTTTCGAAGCCCAGCGTCCTTACTAGCACACCACCTCGTGTCCACCCCCCTTCAAGGCTCAGCTTCCTCGCTGGTACATTGCGCGATGTCTGTCTCTGATACCATTTGTAACAGCACAAGCCCATCGTTAGCAGATATTATCCTCTTTGGGCTTTCCCTCAAGGTTTTTAAAACGCATCTGCTAGGGAGAGGTTTCCACACTCTTATAAAGAATGTTTCGTTCTCCTCCCCAACCGATGTGGGATCTCACAATCTACCCCCTTTGGGGCCCGGCGTCCTCACTGACCCTTGTTCCTATCTCCAATCAATGTGGGACCCCATAAGCCACCCCCCTTTCAAAGCCCAGCGTCCTTACTAGCACACCACCTCGTGTCCACCCCCCTTCGAGGTTCAACTTCCTCGTTGGTACATTGCGCGGTGCCTGTCTCTGATACCATTTGTAACAGCATAAGCCCATCGTTAACAGATATTATCCTCTTTGGGCATTCCTTCAAGGTTTTTAAAATGCATTTCTAGGAAGAGGTTTCCACACCCTTATAAAGAATGCTTCGTTCTCTTCCCCAACCGATGTGGGATCTCACATTTTCTCTTGCCAAGAACGGTTAAAAGTCTAAAAAGCAACCAATTCCGCTAATATTTAACATGGATGATACTTGGAAGCCAGGGGAAAATAGTTATACTAGAAAATAATTCACAACTGGACTTTGATAATAAACAACTTGCCTGAACCAAATCCTTCTCTTTAATCAGCCCATTTACAGTTCCACCTTTAGCTAGCAACTCGAAAAGGATCTATACAGCATAAGAAAAGAAAAGGCATCAATAAAATGCAAACTGACAGAAGTCGACATTTAGACTATAACCAATCATTAAATTTACCTCTTTCCCGATCTTTCCACTAATGGTACCACCTTTTATGGAAGCTATCAATTCAGCAAGCTCTTCTGGAGTGAGCTTGATATCATTTATAGTTAGCTTCTCATTTTTCATGTAGGCTGCAATATCACCCATTATCCAGTTTGCAGCCAGCTTCACTTCAGCCCCCCTTGCAATAGTTGCATCAAAAAACTCAGCCACCTAGGACACATGCAGCAAAAGTTCAACCAGAGCAAGTGTATTCTACCAATTTATGCTAATCAATGGTTTAAAAAGAATCATGATTTGTACTTTGGCGTGTTTTTGTTGAGGATTGTTGGGAGGGAGTCCCATGTTGGCTAATTTAGGGAATGATCATGGGTTTATAAGTAAGGAATACATCTCCATTGGTATGAGGCCTTTTGGAGAAAGCCCAAGATAAAGCCACGAGAGCTTATGCTCAAAGTGGACAATATCATACCATTGTGGAGAGTCATGATTCCTAACATGGTATCAGAGCCATGCCCTTAACTTAGTCATGTCAATAGAATCCTCAAATGTCAAACAAAGGGTGTACTTTGTTCGAGGACTCCAGAGAAGGAGTCGAACCTCGACTAAGGGGAGGCTGTTCGAGGGCTCCATAGGCCTCAGGGGGAGGCTCTATAGTATACTTTGTTCGAGGGGAGGATTGTTGAGGATTGTTTGGAGGGAGTCCCACGTTGGCTAATTTAGGGAATGATTATCAGTTTATACGTAAGGAATACATCTCTATTGGTACGAGGGCTTTTGGAGAAGCCCAGATCAAAGAAGAGTACTTTTTTTTTGCCTATAGTATACTTTTTTTTGCTCGTTTTTATAAAAATTCTAAGAAACTCACACTAATGTCGTTTGCCAGGAAAAGCACATCCTGCATGCTCAGGCCCATACTCTCATATCTTCTACGCTTCATTTCTGGAAGTTCAGGCAAAGAATCACGGATATTATCAACATATTCTTTTGTGAGGATGACTTCGGGGAGATCGGGTTCTGGAAAATATCGATAATCAGAAAGTCCTTCCTTTTTCCTCATTGTAATTGTTTTCTAAGCAAAATAGTACACAGGTGAGCACATGAGTGGACAAGAATAAAAAGAATAATTGTAAGTTATGTCTGATGATCAATGGAGAAGGTACAAAAACGTATGAAAAACCTGAGCGCCTTCTTCCCATAGTCTGGTTTCCTGTACAATTTGATCACTTTGGCCTTGACTATGGAGAAGCACTTGTCTTGAAATTTCAAAATCAATTGCTCTGCTCATGGATGAAAATGAGTTCAAGTTTTTTATCTCCACCTGCAAATCAATGTATACCACTAAATTTATCTTGCCCAATGGCTCAAGCCCACCGCTAGAAGATATTGTCCACTCTGGGCTTTTCCCTTTCGAGCTTCCCCTCAAGGTTTTTAAAACGTGTCTTCTAGGGAGAGGTTTCCACACCCTTATAAAGAATGCTTCGTTCTCCTCCCTAACTGATGTGGGATCTCACAATCCACCCCATTTGGGCTTAGCGTCTTCGCTGACACTCGTTCACTTCTCCAATTGACGTGGTACCCCCAATCCACCCCTCTTTGAGGCCCAGCATCCTTGCTGGCACATCGTCTCGTGTCCACCCCCTTCGAGGCTCAGCCTCCCATCTGACTCTGATATCATTTGTAACAGCCCAAGCCCACCACTAGCAGATATTGTCCTATTTGAGCTTTTCCCTTTCGAGGTTCCCCTCAAGGTTTTTAAAACGTGTCTGCTAGGGAGAGATTTCCACACCCTTATAAAGAATATTTCGTTCTCCTCCCCAACTGATATGGGATCTCACAATCCACCCCCTTCGAGCCTAGCGTCCTCGCTAACACTCGTTCCCTTCTCCAATTGATGTGGGACCTCCAATCTACCCCCCTTCGAGGCCCAGTATCCTTGTTGGCACACCGTCTCATGTCCATCTCCTTCAAGACTCAGCCTCCCGTCTGGCTCTAATATCATTTGTAACGGCCCAAGCCCACCACTAGCAGACATTGTCCTCTTTGGGCTTTTCCCTTTCGAGCTTCCCCTCATAAAGAATGCTTCGTTCTCCTCCCCAACCGACGTGGGATCTCACACATTTGGTCTACCCTTCACAAATAGTCCCTCATTCCCCACAATTGCTCGCCTCCTAATGTACTTCAACAGCTAACTATTATTTAAGAATCTTTCATCAATAGATCAACAAAAAAAAGCATGCATAATTCACAAACATATGTCAGATTTGTATGTGCTAGAATAATTGAATCAAGGTAGGTGGTCATTCGTTGTTGATATTTATAAAGAAGCTAAGAATAGTTAAACTTCAACCACCCATCCAACTTAAATCATGAAACACTTCCTTAGGTGCCTTCTAATTACTGGTCACAGCACAGAAACAATACTTGTAAGAGAACTAAGCTACCTTTGTTCCAAACTGTGACTGCCCAATAGGTCGAACCGACACATTCACATCGCACCGAAGGGAACCTTCTTGCATGTTTCCATTACCTACGCCCAAATATCGAACCAACCTCTGTAACTCAGCAGCATACTCTGCAGCTTCAATCCCAGTTCTCATGTCAGGTTCAGAAACAATCTCAAGCAAGGGCACTCCTGCCCTGTTCAAGTCAACCTGCAAATAACTTAAACAATCAATATAGCAGCCAAGGACAAATAAAAGCACACCATAAAGAACTCGATATATCGAAATTGGCCATAAAATGGGATCGAAATACATGTTTGGCAAGGCCATAGCTAAAATATGAGATAAGGGATGCAAAATTATTTCCTGAGAGTAGCTTCCACTTTCAGAGTGAAGTAGCTTTCCAGCATCCTCTTCCATGTGAACCCTGGTGATACCAAACCGCCTATGCCCCCCACCATACTCAATAGGAAGATCAAGGTCAATGAAACCGCCACTCGCAATTGGTATATCAAACTGAGATATTTGATAGCCCTTGGGAAGATCTGGGTAAAAGTACTGTTTCCTATCAAACTTTGAGTTGAAAGACAAACTGCAGTTTAGTGCAAAACCCAACTTCACTGCAAACTCAATCACTTTTGAGTTCAAAACAGGCAAGGCACCAGGAAGCCCCATGCAGATGGGGCAGATATTTGTGTTCGGTGAAACACCATAATTGTAAGGGCAGCTGCAGAAGGCCTTGGTGAGAGTGGAGAGCTGAACATGGGTTTCAATGCCAATAATAGCTTCATAGTCCTTGGAGATTTTATCAATAATCTGTTTATCAAAATGGGGTGAAATTGCTATAGGCCTTTGCTTTTCTTGAGTAGCTGTTTGGGATTGAGAGGATTTCACAGAGAAATACAAAACTCTCCTCCTTCTAGTGAACAAAGCAGCAGGGTGAAGCAAGAAAGGTTGGGTCCGAATGCATCTCAATCCTACAAATGCCATTTCTGTAGTCTCTGATCTTCTTCTACCATCAATCAGTTAAAAACACTGAAAAATGCACTGAGAATGAGATTTAAATTCACAATCTAAACAACTAACAGAGAGAGAGAAAACCAACATAAAACAGATAAGACATTAACAATAGACGATCAATTAACCACTATAAAATATACAAAAAGAATCCAAACCTTTCTTGAACATAGGTGACAACGAGCGAAGTAGAGATGGAGAGATCGAACACGGGAATAAGCAAGCTCGCCATTTTTTTATTTTGATAGAGGGGATGGAGAAAGTGGACAAAATAAACTCGCATTTTCCCGTTGAAAAGATGAGTTCCTTTTTCGTCTAGCATTTCTTATCAAACAAATACGGAAAAATCATCATATTGAAAATGTTACTAACCCACCAAGCCCTTCCTTTGTAGAGCCGTGTATTGTAAGTGATCCGAACTTGCCCGGGGTGAGACTCCCATAAAGGCAAGTGAAGTTGGTGAGCCGTATGATGGGCAACTATCTCCTACGGTTTGGAGAGGACTCAACTCTTAGTTAGTATCCCCTTAGTTTTGGGGTGGACCCTAGGACATGGATTCTATATGAACCAATGAATCGTGACAAGTCGTCACTACTAGCAATGATTTCCTCTTTCATTACTTCAATCCTTTCAATATCTCTCTCCCTTGTTCTCAGTTACTCATCAAATGACACTCCGTTCATATCTTTAAGTTCGATCATTCGATCATTCGATCATTGACAAGGTCATTTCTATTTCTAACCAAGACAAGAAGAAAATTTAACCATGTAATGAAAAATTTTGAATTCGTCTAATTATACAATCTATGGCAAAACATTACAAGCATATGCATCTCCTTGAGCAAAAAATAACTGGAATCACAAACTCTTCTGCGCCACAAATGGATTAGTGTTACGTCATTGGATTGATGAAAGCCATGGAACAATGGGATAGCAAACCAAGCGAACAAACCTTATCGAGAACGAGATGCAAGACGATTAACAGAGAAAGAAAGAAGATTAAATGTTCGTTGGACCTGAAGTTCATCGCCAACCACGCACATGTAGAAATGGACAGAATCAAAACGAGAACAGAAGAAGAAGAAGAAGAAATTTTCAGACTAACCGAAATGAAAACCTGCCGCCGGCGAGACCAGATTCCGGCGTTGGCCACTCTCTCAGCCTACGCCTGACTGAAATTCAGAGGGAGCCACCCGTTATCCGTTCAATTGCTTGCGTTTTAGATAAAAGTTCCCCAATGTTTTTGTAAAAATATATAAATAAATTGTAAAATTACAGCTGTAAAAATAAAATTAAAAAGAATTATCCAACCATCAAAATATCAAAATTATTTTTAGTTTTTAAAATCTTGAAATTTAAAATTATTTCCTTAAATTTATCTTCCCAAACAACATTAAAATTTAACTCGGATAAATTAATAGGATAGTTTTTGAAAAATTTACAAAACGTCGTCGTATTTCAAACTTTTTTCTATATATATATATATTTTGGTATTTTATTTATTTATTTATTTTTATTTTTTTTAAAAGTAGTTGCGATGGTAGTTTTCACTTGACATCAACGTTTAATCAAAGTAATTTAAGGCATTTATTTATTACAAGAAGAAAACAAAGCCGATGAGAAGAAAAGAGAGCAGTTGAGTATAATTTCATTGAAACTCAAATGCGTCTTCTCTAGTCTGGAATTCAATTTCCACCCATTTCGCTTGATTACCCACAAACTGATTTTTTGTTCCAGTTCATCAGCACGGACCCATTTTGATTTTGTAGATCATCGCCGTCATCTGCGGCGGAATTCTCTGGTGTTGCTTCCAAGTTCTGCGGCGGCGATGTGAATATCCATTCAGAGTATTTGGAGAAGAAGAAGAATATGGAGACCCAACAGTCAGGGAGGTTGAGATTCTCGTTTAGGAATGCGACCGTAGCTGTGTGCTTGTTGAACCTGGTGGCGGCTTTTCTTATGCTTCAGGGTTTCTTGTTTGCTGCCTCTTCCCGCAATAGATCCTCCTCAACAAACCCTAATTTGGGTTCGTTTCCTTCACCTCTCTGGACTTTTCTCTTCATTGCTTTTCTGATTTCTGCAAATTCTTTGTGAAGTAATCTAAATATTTGTTGTTTTCTTAGGTTTGATTTTTAGTGCATCAAACTGATTCTAATGAATGTTTGTGCCGCTGATCAGAGATGCTAGGGTGATATTTTGAACTGACTATGCTTGTTGGTGGATTGCTTAGATGAGGGCTTAGGTATCATGAACTACAAGAAAACAAAAAATTGTGTATATGACTGTTGGGGATTGTTGGGAGGGAGTAAGGGGGTGGATTGTGAGATCCCACATCGATTAGAGAAGGGAACGAATGTTAGCGAGAACACTCCAAATGGGGGTTGATTGTGAGATCCCACATCGATTGGATAAGGGAACGAATGTCAGCAAGAACGCTGGTTCCGTAGGGGGGTGGATTGTGAGATCCCACATCGGTTGGGGAGGAGAACGAAGCATTTTTTGTAAGGGGTGTGGAAACCTCTCTCTAGCAGACATGTTTTAAAACCTTGAGGGGAAGCCTCGGAAGGGAAAGCCTAAAGAGGACAATTTATGCTAGTGGTGGGTTTGGGCCGTTACAAATGGTATCAGAGCCAGACACCGAGGGGTGTGCCAGCGAGGACATTGGCCCCCAAGGGGGTGGATTGTGAGATCCCACGTTGGTTGGAGAGGAGAAGGAATGAAACATTTTTTATAAGAGTGTGGAAACCTCTCCCCAGTAGACGCGTTTTAAAACCTTGAGGGGAAGGCCGAAAGGGAAAGCCCAAAGAGGAGAATATCTGCTAGCGGTAGACTTGGGCTGTTACATCCACATTGGCTAATTAGGGGAGTGATCATGAATTTATGAGTAAGGAATACATTTCCATTAGTACGAGGCCTTTTGGGGAAACCAAAAGTAAAGTCATGAGAGCTTATGCTCAAAGTGGACAATATCATACCATTGTGGAGGTTCGTGATTCCTAACACCGAGGACGTAGTCTTTAAACCTATTTAGCCAAATCCGAAGAATGCTAACATTGATGGATTTGATGACAACGGCAACCGTTGTTTTGATTACCTGCACCAATAGAGTGAAGATGATCTGGTTTGGGAAACACGTTTATAACATCAAGATGGCTGTTAGGAGAGCATAATGATAATTAGTTAGGAGAGCTTGGTTATATAGATCTTAGAAGGGGGGAAGATTTTGGGCATTGTATAGCGTGGGACTTTGGGAGAGACCTAGCCTGTTTGGAGTCACGATCCTCTACAATGGTATGATATTGTCCACTTTGAGTATAAGCTCTCATAGCTTTGATTTTGGTTTCCCGAAAATGTGTCATACCAGTGGAGATGTATTCCTTACTTATAAATCCGTGATCATTCCGTTAATTAGCGAATGTGGGACTCCCTCCCAACCATCCTCCACATATTAACTGAACTTTTTAATGGAAAAAAATTGTTGTCTGAATTGTTCAGCCCTCCTTTGTTTATGCTCTGTACTTAACTGGCTTGCTAACTTAGATAATGGGTGAAATTTCATACTGCAGATCAACTGAAATATATCAGGGAATCCGAAGAGATTCGACTTGCCATGCAGCCATTGGAACTGATTAAAAGGGTAAGCGTCTCGAGTCTATCCTATGACCCATCAAAGCACAAGACACAAGTCTCATGAGTAAATAAAAACCGAACCGAACCGAACCTCGTCTAAGCACAAGAAAGAAACGACAACGATGGCTGAAAAATCGTTTAAGCAAACTTATGAATTGAATTAACGAAGGGAGATGATTGGGTTTAATAAGTTTTTTTGTGAGATCCCACGTCTGTTTAAGAGGAGAATGAAGCATTCTTAACAAGGGTGTGGAAACCTCTCCCATGTGTTTTAAAAATCTTGTGGAGAAGTCTGAAAGGAAAAGTCCAAAGAGGACAATATCTGCTAGTGGTGGGCTTGGGCTTTTATAAATGATATTAGAGCCAGACATCGAGCGGTGTGTCAGTGAGGACGTTGGGCCCCGAAGGAGGAGTAGATTGTGAGATCCCACATCGATTGGAGAGAGGAATGAGTGTGAACGAGAACGCTGAGCCCTGAAGGGGGCTGGAGTGTGAGATCCCACATCAGTTGGAGAGGAGAACAAAGCATTCTTCGTAAGGATGTAGAAACCTCTCCCTAGCAAACACGTTTTAAAAACTTTGTGGGGCTTGGACGGTTACATTTTCGGCTTTAGTTTACACCCGGATGTCTCTGCATATTTGGAATTTTCTTTTGCATTGAAGTTTGAATTTCATTTATTGTGTTCAGGTAAGGGAAATTCAGCGGGAAGCATACTATGAAAGTGAAGATATACAAGAGAAAGACTCCAAGCAGAATGCTGCCATTGATCTTTCTAAGAGATTGAAAGACTTTCGTTCTCTCAATGATGCTTCCAACTTAAAAGGTACCATTTTTAGGCTCTGAAATCATCTCCCTCCCCAGCTCCACCCTCCACTATAACAGCCAAAATCAGAACAACCGAATCGGTTCGGTTTCATTAAATCCGAGGGATTTGAGCCTCTTACCTCCGGGCCGACTAATTTCATAAAATATAGAATCAAACATTAGTATATCAGTTTAGTGTGATAGCTTTTTAAAACTTGGGTTGGTAGATTGTGAGATTCCACATCGGTTGGAGAGGGGAACGAAGCATTCTTTATAAAAGTGTGGAAACCTCTCCCAGAATCTTGAGAGAAGCTTAGAAGAGAAAGCTGAAAGAGGGCGATATTTGTTTGCAGTGGGCATGGGTTGTTACATGGATAGTTTTGCTGGTTTCAACCAATTTAGTCGATCTAATGATTCATTTTCGGTTATTTTTTTATTTTTCTTAAACCAATATGTCAGAGTTTTCAAAATTGGGTATGGCTCAATTCGTTAAAGTACAAACTTTTGACTATAGGATTAGAGGCTTGAGTCTTCTACCTCACATGTCCTTGAGGATTTTGTTTTTAAAAAATAAAGTTGAGTCGACATGTTTACACACGGACCGCCATCCCGTGTCTGAGCTAATATGATTATGAACGATTTGTGAATTGTGACACAGCTTTGGAGGAATGGCGGAAAAGGAAGATGGAAAGAGCAAGAGTGCGAGAAATGGAGAAAAATGGGACACTGAGATCCCCAACTTCTAAATCTGTATGAACTTTCCTTGTGTTAGTATGTGATTCTAAAGTGAAAGCTTCATAACCTTCTTCTTATACCGAATTAGCTCGTACCGAATTAGGTCGGGCTGTGTTCGGGTTCAACGACAGAAGAGATAAGAGAGTCCTAATACATGTTTCATTACTTTAACCTCTGCTTGTTACAGGAATTATGTTGGTCAGGGTTGGGTAACAAAAGACATGTAGGGTTGGAGAAGTCTTAATTTTTTAAGGAAATTTATGAGATCGTTTTCCATGTCAGAAATTCTCTCTCTTTTTCTTTTTTACAAATATATATTTTTTTTAAATATTAATTAAAAAAATTAATAAATAATTTCTATTAGAATATAAAATATCATAATAAATTCTGAAGTAAAGGTTAAATATAATTTCAAAAAACCCAAATGGTAATATTACACCATAATATTCTATACATATATTTATATAATATAAATATATATTTATTTACTTAGTAAAGAATGAAATATATCTATATAATATAAGCATATAATAAGTTAATTTTGAGATTTAGTATTAATATATTAAGTGGGGTAGTGTGGGCGGGCGGGCGGGCGGGGATTTGCCGAGTATTCCTTGGCCTCAGTCATGTTTAGTTAACGTAAAAAATCCTTTTACACGTTTACACTCCCTTCCTAAATCTCCATTTAAACGGAACTTTTCTAGCATGTTCGAGACGGGTCAACCATAGGACAACCATTCTTACTTGAAGCTCGCTCTGCCATCTGCCATAGCGGACATAATCACAATATGAAAGTTATGGAAGAAGTATATGAAAGTAATCAAACTCAGCAAAAAATGTGAGCTCCCAACGAGGATCGAACTCGTGACCTTTCGCTTACGAAGCGAACGCAATACCACTATGCTATGGAAGCTATTGTTGCTATGCGTCAACTGAATACTTGTATTAATTATGAGTACTAAAGTCACATTTCGCTGAACCCAATACCAAATATGGTCACTTGTATTGCAAAGCATCTATGTATGATCTATGTTCCTTCCGGATGGGCGTAGGGGCTGCTGCTGCGGGTGAGCCTCCTAAGGGTGGTTTAGAACACATGGTTCTGTATCGTATCAATGGGTTAGTTCTTCTAAGAACATAGTTTATGGTTGGGTTAGCTCCTTCAAAACCTTCAATGGGATCTTTCACATAGTAACAAAGTGTGTGGTTCAATACATTTGCTAATACTTTTTCCCTATGGGCAGAGATACAAGTTACCGTGTATAATTTTCCTGCAAGACTTCCATTTTGGAATCCATCAATGCTTCCTGCACATTACAAGGAATAATTGATTTACAACAAGTGCATATGATTCACCTGCAGCAACTTAATAAATAAGAAAGGGGGAAAATGAATAAGTAAAGAAAAAGGACATATCTGAAAACAAATATGCTTACCTACTAATATACTATGTCTGCTATCGTTAGATAATGAATAGAAATCAGTGAAACTCACCCTGTAACGACCCTAGCCCACCACTAGCAGATATTGTTCTTTTTGGGCTTCTTCTATCAAGATTTTTAAAACGCGTATGCTGGGGAGAGGTTTCCACGCCCTTGTAAAGAATGTTTCGTTCTCCTCCCAACTGACATGAGATCTCACATAACCAGTCTCAGGATTGAGTTGAAATCCAAGAGAAGTGATGAATGGAAAGTGGAACAGAGACCACGTGAGAGATGAGACACAAATGCTGACGCTCCTTTGACACTCACTGAGAGAGGGATTACTTCTTCAACAGTCTGAGGGAGAGACTTCATCGAGGAAAGTAAAAGAAACGAAGATGGCACTTGATAAATGCCAAACTTAATTTGGGTTAGTTAGATGTATCTTTCTGTCAGTTTGGAGTTCAAAGAACATTCTAAGTAGATGGCTTCTTCAGCAGGAAATCCATCAATTCTCCACAATAACAACACTTCAAAGCCACTCAGAGTTCAAACGAGGGAATTAATGAAGCCAAAATACATATAAAGAAAACCAAATAAGCTTATACCTACTAATCTTCTAAGGCGTACACCGAGTAGCTAGTTTCCTTAAAATCAGTAGCAGAGAATAAGGCATTGCCGTTCCAAGGATAATCGATTGCAATCCAAGAAAGAATATCAGAATTCAAAAATACGAAACACCATCACACCACTGATTAAACAACTCATATCCTCAGAATCTAACAAGGCGCAAAATAAAATCCACAAGAAACGAAGACAACAGTAAATCCCCCCCCGAAACAAAAGTAGCAGAAAAAGGCGGCGCAAAAGAATCCGGAAGGCCGTTTTCTGCCATTAAAGAGGAAAAATAACAAGATTATACCTTCATCTGAGAAGACGAAGCTACTTCCACTTCAGTATCTGGTGCAGCCATCGCCACTTCCATGTCTGGAACCTCTCTTTCTCCTTTCTCGGAAACTTAACACGCAGGAAAATTAGGGCAGGAAAACTGTATTACCAGTCGTGCCTACCTTTTATACCTTTCTTCGTCCTCCCGCCCGTGAAAAGTTTTTATTTTTTTATTTTTTATTTTTATTTTTTTTCAATGAAGGTTAAAAATGTCTTTTCACTTCTCTGGATTTGAATTTGGGCTTGGGCCAGCGTAAGGCGGCGGCCCATTTGATCATTTGCAAGAAAGAGGCAAAATTAATTTACTAATAAATAAATTTTAAAAAAAATCGTTAATATCACTTGAAAATACTTCAAATCGTTATTATTATTTTTTTATTAAATTTAAAAAAATATATTTCTAAACCTTTTTTCATAAAAGCATTCTAATTACCGACCTACGAGTCAATTTTTTTATTCAATATTCTAATAAATTTTTACTTCAAGAGTGGTTCTGAAATGTATATAAAAAGTCAAGGTTAATATTTAAATTTATTTAAAAGAAAAATCGATAATATTTTTTCTTTTAATAATTTAGGTTTTTTTTTTATTTTTCGAATTGTACGGATAAGAGAAGAAAAAAAACAGCGAATAAATTAATTACGTACGAATTTATTTAATCGGGGATATATGAGTCAAATACCGTGTTGATAGCATGATCGAGTGGTTGACTGTTGGTTGACCGTTGACCGACATAGCGTGGCCAGCTTTTTGGACGGTGCCCATAAGAAATCATATTTTTTTAATTAAAAAATAGGAAAGATTCAATTTTATTGTTATTTACTTTTTTGCTAATTAATAATTTTTATAATATTTTTACATAAATTTAAATTTTATTAATATCGTCGAATTAAAATTAAATGATTTTGTCAAACCTCACAACTTATAACAAAATTTTATTTTATTTTTCTAATTTTTTAATTGTACTTTTAAATACTAATTTTAATTAACAAATTTTTAGGATTATGTCTAATTAACATCTAAACAATTTTAATATGTGTTTAATAAATTTTTAAATGTAAGTTTAAGAGTTTTTAGTAAGTTTCGAAAATTTAATTAATTTAATTAATTAATTATGTTTAGTAAATTTGTAAAATTTAAACAAATTTAGTGATTAAATGCTTCCAAATTTTAAAATATTATTAGACACAAAAATAAAAATAAAAAATCATTTAAAATTTTAATTACAATAAAAATTATAATTCAACTTACCTTTAAATTTGCCCACTATTTTATTTTAGTATAATTGTATTATTTTACATTGAAGTGACATTTTTAAGCTATTTATATTAAAATTTCTAATTTAGTATAATTTGTAAAAAATAATAATACCCAAAAATGATTTTTTTTTTTTTTAATGTATTTCAATAAAAATGTAGGAGGTTATTAGAAAATTATATATATATATATAATGAATTGATTAAAAAAAAATAATTATAAAGGGACAATGTCCCTTGGAGAGGTCAAAGGAGTAAACATTAGTGGGGTTTGGCAACTTAATTTTAAATTACAAAAATTACTTTTTTTTTTTTTTTTTCATCTCCTTTTTCCATGAAAGCGAAAGTTTGCACGAAATGTCCCTAAGAAATTATTAGGTTTCACAATTATTTTAATTTAATTTATGTTTGAAGAAAAAATAAATAAAAGAATAATATTATCTTCCCGTCAACCATATGGAAACGTCGATGTTGTTTATAAATAATAGCGGATTCGTAACTTTGAGTTTTAGAAGAAATTACAAAAACAACTTATTAAATATATATTTGAGATTTTCTCTTTATTTTAAAAATATTTTTATTATTTTAAAAAATTAAAGTATTATCACGTATACTTTTCAAAATTATCATTAACGTATAAATTACTTAAAATATTAGACAAGAAATAGGCATGTCAGTTGTCATAATCGCACTTTTGATGGTAGCGGACTTGCGATTGTGCGGCACTCACTTTCCAATGATAAGTGAGCTAGGCCAATTCGTTCTTGCATCGCCTATGGTCAAGCGGCGTATGCTCGAGCCTCTGGTCTCGATTTTAAGATAAGGTTTTAGAAAACGAGGGCAGAGAGAGATTTTTGAAAGAAACGTTATATAAGTAAGCAAGAGAGAAATATCAACGGCTAACAGTATATAACCTTGGGTGGGGAGAAGTTGACAACTAGTTGTATCCCCCTATAGTATATTCTGAGGCATTTCATGTCTGACATAAAGGGTTGGGGTTGTCATGGGCATGCGGCCATGAGCAACATGCCTTGGACGAGCATGACCGTGACACCAGTGACCTAAAACAACTTGACGTTCACAAGAATGAAATAAAGGCAGTTTTGAAATATTTATACAAGTTTAGAGGTACAGTTTCAAATTTGGTGAGTTTTCATCTTTTATATCGACAGACTTATTTTCCGAACCGCATGTCGAAACTCATCGAAATCCCGACTTTTGAGGTCCTCAAGCTTGTCTTCACCACTCGTGCCACCTCGTTCTCTCAAACTTAATATATGTCACGACTTAGCTTCAATGCACTCCTCGGTCACATCGTGACACTTCTCAATCTTAGCACAAACGTAGTCAGATAAATGTCAGTTGAGAATCACTCGATCTACGACTAATAATAAAAGTATAATAAGTATAAAAAAAATTATAATTACATGGTAAAAAATATAATCTTAATATATATATATATATATATATATATATATATATATATATATATAAAATTATGTCATGATATTTCATCACTTTTTACCGTCCTTGATAGCAATGGTCAACGACAAAGTCTTCCAAGCTCCAATTCAGCCACCCCAAGTGATTTTTGTTATGAACCTAACTTTTAATTATTAATTTAATTTATTCGATACGAACAATATTTTTATTCAACGACCACTGTTAAAAATTTCACAGCTAATTTATATTTTTTTTATACATTTATTCCGGTAAAAAAATAACAATAATGGTTAAGAACAGATTCATCGAGTAGGTACGTACTTTTTTTTTAAATATCGGTGGTCTAAAAAGAATCATTCAGCTCGATAATTATTTAGTCCCTCCAAAATTTAAATTTAAATTCTAAATTAAATTTGTAATTTACCTAAATTAAAATTAGTTTTATTTTATATAATAAAGTTTAAGGCTCATTTTAGCACCATAATATCTCATAATCTCAATCCTAATCAATGTAATAAAATATGTAAAAAAATAAAATAATAATAATTATAGAACATCTTCTTTTAAATTAATTAAGGTAATTAAATGCTTAGCTGTTAATCAACTTCAACTTTTGTAAAGTTGTTTTATTTTATTTATTATTAGAGCATATCCCTTTGTTCTACATTGTCCGTACCAAAAAGGTTATCAATTCAATAATATCCTTCTATATAAACATATATTATATACTTTGTCACATTGGATAAAGATACGATGATCTCAATTTCAATAAATTTATTATATGCTTCAGGTTTACGAGTTTCCTTTAAGTACCAATATGATCATAGCTCAATGGTTATGACGCGTAATTTTTGTAACGCCCAGGATTCAGAATCTGGATTTGAGTTCCCTTTAAATATCAATATGATGATAGTTCAATGGTTATGACAAGTAATTTTTGTAAAGCCCAAGATTCAGAATCTGGATTTGAGTTCCCTTTAAATACCAATAGGATCATAGCTCGATGGTTATGACACGTAATTTTTGCAACACCTAGGATTCAGAATCTGGATTTTTCACTTGATGGTCCCGACATGCCCTAACCTCCAGGTTTCATAATGTGGATTTTCTTGATCAACACAGAGTCATTCCAGCTTGTTTTATCTTCACTTACATGAATCTTAAGAAAGTTCTTAAGAGTTCACCGACACAGAATTACTTCAAACAAAACACACTATTATGAAGTTCATATGATTGAGCTACCGAATAAAGGAATTTACACTTAGTTGATATATGCAGTGATTTTAATTATTTTAAGTTTTTTTTTAGTCATCGTATCTTCAGGGTCGCTCTCATTCAGCTGTAGTCTCGGTTCATTCATGTACCATTTTTTTACTCTTGAGATTCGAAGTTCAAATCTTCATTCCACATCAACAACTGATACGAGAGATCGAAGCTTACCATTTGCTTTTGATTTTCGTATGCAATTTTAAAATCATAACATCAGCAAGTTAAGCGAGTCGTAAATATACGGATTATTATTTGATTAATTTTTGATGGATGGGGTGTAGAGCAAATAAATATTAAATTAGATATGGTTGGTGAAATTCCATAATGGAATGGCTTTGTGCATAACACGTTTGCTAGAAGACGATTTTGAAGCAATTCCAAAGCTATCTCTATGGAATATTTTTTTAAAGTAATTATTTCTTTTTTAATGAAATAAAATTTATTTTTTAATTGAAAGCTAAGCTAGAGACTCTTTAATAGAGTAGGGATTTGAATATGGGGGGAGATATTTTAGAAGTTGGCAGCCAAAATTTCTTGAAATAAATTATTAAAAAAATGAAAAAAAAAGTTAAATTTAATTAAATAAATTATTTATAAACGGATAAAAAAAGATTAGAAAAAATATCCAAAGATGGTACTTTCTAAATATATATTTTAGGTTAAATTATATAAATATTTTAAAATTAAATTTCAATTGTACATAAGACATTTGAACTTTTAAAATAAAGTTTAAATGACTTCAAATATTTTTTAAATGTTAAAATAAAAAGTGTAAAATTTGAATAATATAAATTGTTTAATTGGCGATAGTTATTTATAAATAATTTTCAAACCATCGATGCTGGGAAGTGAGGGAGTCACTTGTTAGTCAAGCTTGCAATGCACTCACTCCCGCTACAAGAAAGAAATGACACTCCAACTCGACTCAAGACCAAGACTCTTTACAACTTGCATCGGCTGATCTAGTAATTAGGGGTTGGCCTGAAATTGATTGAAAAGGCAACCCAACCGTCCGGGCCGCTCAAAACATGATCGAAAATTATTCTTAAAAAAACCCAAAAAATGCATGCAAAAAATTCTTTCTCACAGAGGGTAGGAGTAAGGAAAGGCGATGTGTCCAAATGATCTAAATTTTAATGTCTGAAAAGGCTGAAAATGGCATAAAA